AAAAAAAAAAAAAAAAAAAAAAAAATAGCCAGGCACAGTGGCGGCCTGTAGTCCCAGCTACTCAAGAGGCTGAGGTGGGAGGTAGGCTCCTTGAACCCAAGAGGTCAAAGCTGTAGTGAGCTATGATTGTGCTACTGCACTCCAGTCTGGGGTTGGAGGGAGGGAAAAAGGAAGGGAGGGAGGGAAGGAAGGAGAGGGGAAGGAACATCACAATTTAATCGACTTTGCCATTATTAAGAAGATTAAATGTAGTAATGTGCCACTTACCTAAAGAACGGTATAGTGAAAATAGTTACTTCCGTTTAACAAATATTTATTTGGCACTAACTTTCTGTCAGATGAAAATGGAAACAAAACTTAACGCCCAGTCTCTGCTATGCCCTAAACAGCTGAATAGCATCATCCAAGTCACTAAATCTGTTTCGTCAGTTGCAAAATGCAGCAAGTGAACCAGAAGAAATTCAAGGCCACCTTCAATTCTAAAATTTTATGATTTTAGGAAAGCAAAGTGGAAAAGCATATTGGGAATTATTTGAGCAAGAAGTATAAGACAAGAAAGGGAAGTGACTAAGACACCAACAACCATCATTGATTAGGAAAATATAACAAGGTCAGAGAGGGACTTGTACAATGGTGACTTCTTCGTCCTCTGTCAAATGCTTACTGTTCAACGTAAAGTTCTATTTTCAATATAATAGCTAATTATGGTTTTCCAGTTAGTATTTTAAGGTACAACTTTTTTTCAAAAAAAGTTAATGAATTAATTAATTCATTAGGCAACCTATACTGACAGATCAAATAATTACAAAATAAGAGGCTTGGGAAACATTTAAGTTAAAATTATAGATTGTCAATAGTCAGCTATTATATTATGAAATCATCCTTAAGAACAGAAAGGACTTGTACCAATTATGTATGATTTTCTTAAATTAATATTCACATTCTGTTGTCTATACAAAATAGAAGATTAAACAAAAAAGACTTATTTTGTCAGCCCAAAACAGAGAGAGATTTATTATTTCAAAAGACTAAAAGAGCAGTTATCCTGATTCTCTAACTGAAATATTCCCAAACCTGATGAGATTTGTACAGTTTTCTTTCTTACCTGAAAGACAAGTGCTTAGTAAAAGGGTATGATGACTGCTTACACCATGTTCTACACATGTTTCATATAAAGATAAAACCTGATATTTCATATAAAGATAAAACCTTGTCGCTTTGAACGAGAGCAACAAGGACTGCAGGGCTCAGCTGTGCCTCCTTGTTATGACCAGTGTGTCTAAAACAGTGTATTGCCTGCAGCCCACCTTTGCAATAAGCAGCGGCCAGCCCACAGACACACAAACTCAGGCCACTTCTAAGAGTCTCTTATCTGTTAGGTTCAAAGAAGTTGATGTTTCCAAACAGCTTCATTCAGGAGGTCCAGAGAATGATGTTACAAAAATCACCAAACTGAGATGAGAGAATAGGCAAATGAAAGCTACTGACACCACCACCAGAAGGAATGTCAGAAAAGGCTACAAACCACTAAGTAAGCAAAAATCAGAGGAAGAGCTCAAGGACAAGAACCAGCTCTTGGAAGCCGTCAACAAGCAGTTGCACCCGAGTTGACTGAAACTCAGGGAGAGCTGAAGGACCTGCCCCAGAAGGTAGAGCTGCTAGAGAAGTTTCAGGACAATTGTTTGGCAATTTTGGAGAGCAAGGGCCTCGATCCAGCTTTAGGTAGTGAGACCCTGGCATCACAACAAGAATCCACTACTGATCATACGGAGTCTATGTTGCTGTTAGAAACTTTGCAAGAGGAGCCGAAGCTTTTTAATGAAACAGCGAAAAAGCAGATGGAGGAATTACAGGCCTTAAAGGTAAAGTTGGAGATGAAAGAAGAAAGAGTCTGATTCCTAGAACAGCAAATCATATATAACAATCAAGTAAATGATTTAACAGCAGCCCTTAAGGAAATGGAACAGCTATTAGAAATGTAAGAAGCGGCAAGTGGCCAGATGGCTCCCTCTTGGGCATAAACTCTCGGAGGAAGCCACTTAGAACATCTTCTTGGCCATGATCTTCTGGGACTCACCATCTCCAGAATGAAAACAGTTTCTACACTAGAATTAAGTACAGTTTATGCTGAAATGACCATTCCTCATTTAAGCAAGTTTTTTCAACCTTCAGGTTGGTCAGCCCTCCTGAGCCTCACAGGTGGATAATTGAGGCCTATAAGAGTGGGGGCGCCTAGGAGCTTGGATTGACCTTCTAGGCAACCACCTGATTCCAGCACACCATTAGAATCGGGAGACTACTAACCACCAACAACCAGAAGATCTAAAACGTCACATTCAGATTTTCGGGAAGAAAATATTCATTACAGTAGAGCACAAGTGTTCCATGGGAGACATCATAGAGCCATGCTGTCCCCTTCTAACCTGGAACACATTCTGTCTAGTCCTGGTAGAGGTCTGTGCCTCCTTATTAATTTATGAACTTGAAGTTGCTTGAAGTGTTTTGGGCTTAACAAATGGGGTGAAAGTATCGGTAGTAATAACACCTACATGAAACAATATACCTTGAAGCTTTCTAAATATAAAAAAAAAAGATAAAACCTCAAAACAAGTATATTCTTTATTATATAAATACAAAATTATTGTAATTAGATGAAAATGTAATTATTATTCGATTGTGGGACACAGAAGCAAGTGATGTTAATCAAGAGAATATATTTATTACGAAGTAAAATTCAGACAAAACTAGAAGAATTCAATCAAAAATATTTAGATGTAAGCAAGTCATTGGTAAAAGGAGTATGTGTTAACAAAAGGCTTCTTAAAATAAATTTTTTTTTTTTTTTTTGAGACGGAGTTTCGCTCTTGTTACCCAGGCTGGAGTGCAATGGCGCAATCTCGGCTCACCGCAACCTCTGCCTCCTGGGTTCAGGCAATTCTCCTGCCTCAGCCTCCTGAGTAGCTGGGATTACAGGCACGTGCCACCATGCCCAGCTAATTTTTTTTTGTAGTTTTAGTAGAGTCGGGGTTTCACCATGTTGACCAGGATGGTCTCGATCTCTTGACCTCAGGATCCACCCGCCTCGGCCTCCCAAAGTGCTGGGATTACAGGCTTGAGCCACCGCGCCCGGCCAAAATAAATTGGTCATTAAATGTCTTAGTATTGTGCAACTCCAAGAACATGTGAGAATAAGAAAAAAAGAGAAAACACACCTTTTAAAATCATGTCAGATGATTCAGCTAACAAATAGTGAATCATGTCTAGTTATATTGCATTCAAGTTCTAGCTCTCGTTAGTCATTTACTTTAAATCAAGGCATCAAAGGAGTTCAAAAGTTAACATGCACACAAAAAAAATTGTGGGAACTCAGTCCAGTAACACCCACTCTACATTACCTAAGATATGAGTGTAAGCAAGTACTGGGAGTCTTAATTAATGCATAGGTATGAGGCAACAAGGAATTCTTAATTATGAAGAATAAGATGTAAAAAGCAAAAACTTAGCCAAAATAGTTCACTATAAAATGACAAAAAAATTTGGAAAAGGGTCTCTTTTTTTTTTTTCAATATGCAGGGGTTTTAATTTTTGTTTACTACATCAAAAAGTAAGAAATATTTTTACGTTATAACCCAACAAACATTTCATGAAACATTATTGAACTTTACTATATGTTATAAAAGTATATGTTTCCTATTTCTTCCCTTTTTGTTTTATTCTGGTTACACCCTACTGAATTGTTATTTCACAATCTACCAATGGATCTTAACCCACAGTCTGATGAATATTACTTTATGGCATACATAGACCATTAAGTTTCAGCCTTGAATCAAATTCTAAATTACGAGTGTCAAGAATTTCAGTAAAAAAGGAAAGTTCTCAGAATTAAAGGAACAAACAGACTAAGCAACAGGGAGAATTTTTTGAGATAGGAATTGGATTTATCCAATGGAAAATGCCTTATACTCTCTTCATTCCATTTGTGAGCCTGAACAAAAAGTATAAATATGGCTAATAAATTAACATTCTCACAGTAATCTTCTGCATGAGAAAGGTTGTTGTTTAACTAACTATAATATAAAAACACAGCAATCCTTAAGTCACTTGGAAGCTCCTTTCATCACATTACATTCTTTCATTTCATTACATTCTTGCTTCTTTTCATCCATCAATTACATTCTACAATGTTCAAGGTAAAGAGCCACTTCCTACTAAATATTGTTTTCAGTTTATTTTATTACAAGAATTACAATGACATTGTTCTATTTTATTTGGGCACAAGTGCAATACATTTTAATTAATTTATGTCTTAGACATGCTTTTATTTATAGCCTTTTGACCTGAAAACAGGATCTCCATTTGTAATATTTGGAAACTGAAAAGTATCTATGGCAGGTTTTAATCAACTTAGAAATTTATTTTGCCAGGCTAAGGACAATCAATGCCTGGGAAAAAAAAAAACAGAATCACAGAAATAGTCTATTGTCTGTGCCTTTCTCCCAAGATGACTTGGAGGGCTTCAATGTCTAAAGTGGAAAAGCGGGCTGGAGGGGAAAGAGGAACTTATCATTCACATGTTCCGAGACAAAATGAGCAGGTCAGGAAATAACCAAGTATGCATTGGCTTATGCTCAGTAAGTTGGCACTTTACATAAGATAAAGTGAACATACAGTAGCTACCTGTGGAGATATTTAACCTTTTATCTGTTGCTCTCTACTTAGAAACAAAAGGAAATGCAGTTGCTTATATGACTCAGCTTTCAGCTTAATTTTTCCCCTTGGCATAATGAATTGGGGTCGTTTTGTTTTTCTTTTACATATTGCTTCTAATAGAAAATAAAATTAAAATTCCAAACTGAATTAGAAACTAATTTGGGAACAGTATACATTTGTTAGCTCAGCATTTCATCTAGAATTTGGGGCAAACCCGGTAGACTAGGGGAGGTAGAGGTGGAAATAGGTGTTCACCTGTTGAATAGCAGCGTTAGGGAGAAAGACTTTTAGAAAAGTTGATAAAACCAGCTGAGCGCAGTGGCTCACACCTGTAATCCCAGCACTTTGGGAGGCCAAGGAGGGTGGATCACAAGGTCAGGAGTTCGAGACCAGCCTGACCAAGAGACGAGCCTGACCAATATGGTGAAACCCAATCTCTACTAAAAATACAAAAATTAGCCGGGCAGTAGCAAGCCCAGGTGTAGTGGCAGGCACCTATAATCCCAGCTACTCAGGAGGCTGAGGCAGGAGAATTGCTTGAACCCAGGAGGCAGAGGTTGCAGTGAGCCAAAGATTGCACCGTTGCACTCCAGCCTGGGCAACAGAAGGAGACTCCAACTCAAAAAAAAAAAAATAGAAAAATAGGTAAAACCACAGAAGGATAAGGAGATTGATAGAGTCAGCAAGTTAAGACTAAGCACAATATATATACAGACAGCAATAAAATTTCTGGGACAAAGGGAAAGAAAAGGATTGTCGTTTTACTGTAGAGTAGAAGGAAGGGGGACGTAGAGAAAGAAGAAGAGAAACAAATAGTTGGTGACGACCTGGCAGTTAGACACCACAGCTGATGGAATCCTTATAAGCAGCAGATTTCTCTTCATATTAGAGATGAGGAAACTGAGGTTAAGGAATATACCCTAAATCACACATACTTTTAGGATTTGAACCAATATCTAACTGCAATCACCATGTTCTTTTCACTCAACATCACTGTTCCCTGTTTAGAAAGAAGGTGAAAGTAAAGAGGTTCAGCAAAGATCCATGTTGCACAGGGACGAACAGTGTGAGTGGGGGGCTACCGGGACAAACGTTGAGATCTAAGTTTGCCTACCTCATTCAGAATGTTAAATCGCTTTATAAGAGACTGAGTAGCAATGTAGAGATTTATTTCATAGAACTAAAGCGCTAGAAAATATGGATGTAAAAATCCATTGATGCCTGAAAACAGTAAGTTGTCAACAAATGGTAATCGCCACTATTTATATTATCATCACTATTAACTTTCCATCTCCTCAATATGTGCTAATTTCTTCTGAACGCTACTGGGCTTAAATAAACTGAGATTTTTGCATGTTTCTTGCATCTGTATTTAATTTGTTCAAATCTAAAATATTTCAGAAAATGTGCTCCTTTTCTTTCTAGCAATTTAATTTTACCTTCATAGAAAACTTCTATACCAAAGCTAAGATGACTTTGATAGCTGAATCTCAAATTATAGGGAAATTGAAACAGGGCAAGTATTTCCACTTCCCCAGATAAAAATGTTTCAGACTCCATTTTCATAGAAGTGAAGAAAAGTGATTTCTTTACATTAAGAGAGTTATAACATTTTCAGAGAAGTTTCTAAAAAACAAAGAACAAAAAAATGGCACATTCAATACTAATTCAAGATCTGTCAGATCTGACAACTTAAGATGGTAGGAAAGACTTCTTTTCTTTTTCTTTCTTTTTTTTTTTTTGAGATGGAGTCTCACTCTGTTGCCCAGGCTGGAATACCATGGTGTGATCTCAGCTCACTGCAACCTCCACCTCCTGGGTTCAAGCGATTCTCCTGCCTTGGCCTCCCAAGTAGCTGGGATTACAGGCACCTGACAACATGCCCACTTAATTTTTGTATTTTTAGTGGAGACAGGGTTTCACCATGTTGGCCAGGCTGGTCTTAAACTCCTGAACTCAAGTGATCTGCCCGCCTCGGCCTCCCAAAGTGCTGGGATCATAGGCATGAGCCACCGTGCCTGGCCAGTAGGAAAGACTTCTGAAAAGATTTTAGAGTTTGAGTGAAAGTAAGATAAATCTGGAAAAACAAAGTAATTTGAAACTCTATAATCTAATCCTAGTTTCCCTAATCACAGCACTATCAGCAAGTAATCTTTCAATCTTTTTTTTTTTTTTTTTTTTTTAGAGAGAGAGAGAGAGGGTCTCATCTTACTGTGGTGCCCAGGCTGGAGAGCAGTGGTGCGATATTGGCTCACTACAACCTCCACCTCTCAGGCTCAAGCAATCCTCCCACCTCAGCCTCACCCTCCGGAGTAGCTGGGACCACAGGCGCATACCACCATACACAACTGATTTTTTTTTTTTTTTAGAGACAGGGTCTCACTATGTTACCCAGGTTGGTCTTGATCTTCTGATCTCAAGCAATCCTCCCGCCTTGGCCTCCCATTGTGTTAGGTTTACAGACATGAGTCACCTCACCTGACCAATTTTTCCATTTTCTTGATTCATTTTCTGGAAAAATGACTGGAAACAAATATTACATGATATACAGGTTTCATTTGGATCATTCCATGTAGCCCTCACAATCATCCTTTCCTTAAAACAAAATTCAGTGCTAAGTGGAATGGCCCCTTCTCTAAACACCAAAAACTAATAGCTAAAACAAAAGTAAACAGTATTAATCTATAATTTAATAACGTTACTATTTATTGCATGCCTGCTCTATTCCAGTCATCACAGTCCTCCTTTACATGTGTGAGTGTTAATTCTTGGAAGAAACATACAAGGGTTTTTTTGTTTGTTTGATTGGTTGGTTTTTTACTGGTATGGAAACTGAAGCTCACAGAGCTT